ACGGTTTTTTTTAGCCACTGGAATCTAGTTAGCATCCAGGCTCGAATGCCAAGGTCTTTAGGCACATTCCTGCAGTGAAAACACTCCTGAAGCTGGGAACTGGGATTTGAGTGCCTGCCTGACCTGCTTTCTCACATTGTCTGGGTAATTTAAACACAATTTTCCCCAGAACAGGTTTCTGAGATAAGAGTTAAACTCCTCATCAGACTGACGGATATGAGCAACAGGCACATGGTGACACAGAACAGCATCACCCAGCATCTGTAAACACGCTGTTAATTTTACATGGAAGGAAGAAGCTCAGGAGGAAAATTAAGAGCTCCCCAAATGCAGAGCTCTTCTTGCCCTCGCCTCTGCAATGAATGCCCTTAGAGAGGGGAATGCTTCTTTATATTGACGAAAGCAGGATTCTCCATGAAGCATTAAACTCCTGTGGCAGGGAGATGTGCCTCTAATGAAGTTAATAAAAATGGCTGAAGAAAGCAAATAATTCAGCTTCTCTCCCTTTATAGATTTCTGTTCCCAACTGTCCTCCTTCAGGGACCGTGGAGACCTGCCGGATAATTTTGTGGACAGGATGTCTTCTAGGCTTGCCTCTGATCTGCAGATGATGTTATTATTTCTTCATAATTGTTTACTGTATAAAGTCAACACCTTTCTCTCCAGAGGGAGATTGCTCAGAGTCGCTCATGAGGGCCTTTTAGCTCACAGTTGTGGGCCTGCTGTGGTCTTGACAACATGCTCATGTCAAGGTTAACGTCATGTCAAGGCTCTATTAGTAGCTCCTTGCCTTGCGCAATTATTCTTTCAACTGTATGAATATTAATACAATTTAAAGCTACTTCTAGAGCATTCTTGACTGGCCTTTAGGGTTATTGCAATTACATGGATGAAAGTTTCAAGGTTTCTGAGAGTACTGTGGGAGTAATTGCAATTGTGGGAAAAAACTAGGTTTCTGTTTGTGCTCTGAAAGCACAGACCTAAAAGCAATCACCTCCACATTCAGTCCTGGCTGACAGACGGACTCTGCCCGTGACCTCTGTCGTGCCACTTGAGCTTCATATTGGAACTTTCACATTGCATCCCCATCTGTAAACGTGAGATAATACTTTTCATCAACTTTGTGGGGATTTTATAATTTGATGTTCACGAAGAGAACTGCCAGCCTTTCTGTGCTGCTGCTAAATGCAAAACTTCCCTAAATCTTGGAGAACAGAGTCCCAACGCAGAACCCTCAGAACACACTGAGAAAGAAGACACAGTTCTTTTATTACAAAGTGAATAATTTAAGAATATTCTTGCTCACTGACTTGAAACCATCCCTTACATGTCCCTGGGCAGAGCCGGAGGCAGCAAGGTTTGCATGTCAATGGTTGTTTTGTAACTGGTTCAGCAATACTAAGAGCAGCAAAGCACCTGACTGTGGCAGTGCCCTGGGCGAGATGCTCCTCCCCGTGTTATTCCAATACCAGAGTCAGGCTTATGTAACTGATTAAATAAATAAAAAAATCAATCTCTATTCTTTGTCTTACATTTATGATCCTACAAGTGTGCCCATTGTGCACTACCTATGCTGCTTCAAGGCCTGACTTGGACTTGGTCAGATTTATTCTTATGTGGTCTCCCTCCCCCAGGGCCACTGCTGGCCACCGAGTTCCCTACATTCAAAAGAACCCAAATGCTATATTCTTCTTGAAAAATGTTTGGACACTCTAATTGTCTCCCTAGGTTTCTATGACAACCACAGCAACATAAACAGCCCTGCTGGCAGCCACAGGAGACTGAAATCTCTGCTCTTTCCCATTCCCAGAACTTCTCAATTTAGAAGACACCATAACTGAACAAACAGGATTAACAATAAACACAGAGGTGGTGTCTAGTACACTAGGCTGGCACTGGGGAAACTTATGGCAAATAAAAATACCTTACAGTATTTTATGATAACAGTCAAAACATTGCCTGTTACATCAGTGTTACTGAAGTACCTTGGGATCAACTGTGGAGAACAGTGCAAAGCTATAAATATATAAACAGGAGGGTTTTCTATGTCAGCCTGCACAGCTGCAGACAGCTTTAAAAAAATAAGACCAGGCGTTCTCTGTGGGTGCCTCTAAGCACCTCTCACCTTGCTGGTAGGTTCCACATCAGAAATAGATAAGCCCCTGAGCGAATTGGGGTTAAGATGGCTGCAGAGCTTTGTGGCTGCGTGCACATTGTGTGATGTGACCGTAGGCGCCTCTCCATGGCTGCAGCTCCTAGGAAAATCATAAACAAAAGGTGACGGCAGCAGCAGGGAAATGCTCTGCACGGCACTGTCAGCCCGAGCCCATTTCTCCGAACCTCCTACATCAGGCAGGAGAGTCAGAGCTGCTGCTTTTGCTAACACTAAGGCAAACTGAGGTCCAACAAATCCCAAATAGCTCATGTCTTTCTTCTCTCCTCAGCAAACTTAATGGCAAAATAAATTGGTCATATGAGGCCAGCGTAACTCTGGAGGATTTCAGCCATTTAAACCCATTAAGCCAATGCTGAATGGCGTGAAGGCATCAGAATATACAGGAGTTATAAAGAGGCTGCAGGTGATTATTATAGTTATCAGCTGTCCATAGATCACAAAATCAGCTTTCAAATTATTACAACAGATTCTGATCGTAAAAATGCCATGTATTTTTAAAATAACTGCTACTGTACATCTAGCTTGTGAAAAAAAAAAAAAAAAACTTTGTGAAACAAAGGGACACAATTTCAAGCACCAGCATGTATGTGATTTCTTCATCAGTGCTGTTAGTTTGTCTTAGGCACTTGTTCTCCCTGTGCTGCCAGAACGATACAGATGACTCCTGCTGCTCCGGGGATGTAACTATGCCATTTTCACTGCAGCAATCTTCCTGCTTGGCGGGGAAACCCTACAGTTCTAGGGGACCGATTTTGCTGTACAGCAGACTCAGGATTTGAGGAAGCAGAGCTGGGGGGGTTACATGAGTGCAAAACCTCGGAAGCCAAAATCTACGGGGATTCCCTCTGGACCAGTACGCAGAAATACATGTACCTGTGAGGAGGAGGTGAAACACTGCCCTGTTCCATAGGGCTTGAAGGCACAGAAGGTACCACTTGACATTTCACAGTTTGAGGGACTGGCTTTTAGAAAACTGATTACACAGACCAGGTGGAGGCAAGATTAGAAATTAATGAAATAAACACTAGAAATGGGGATGAACATACAATCTTTGGAAAAAGAAATGTGGATATTTCATGGTTTTCCTGCTTAAGGTAGGACTTTCACTCCAGGGACTACCAATATAACAAATTTTAAATTGTTTTGTTTTCTCTTGAAAGATTCTGAACAGGGTCCTTATGCTATGGAATTGTTGTACAATATGGAATTATTGTATTTCACAATATGGAAAGGAAATATTTCTTCTTTCCTATCTAAAATGCTCTAAGTAGGCTGTACAGCAAGGAGTGCTATGTGAGAGTGAATCACAAATACAAAAGGATTAATGATGTCCACATTTACTACCTGCCATACAATAACACTGCCTAATAAATAGTTTGGTTTTATCTCAGCTATTTGTAACAAGTTGATGTTTCCATTACGTCTTCCTGCATGCTAGGACGATTTTTCTAACTACACACATACTACTTAAAACTACAGCATATATGAAATGAATGTTAACTTGGAATACAAAGGGAGATCTGTCACCTTACAAACAGGAGAGTCCAAGTGCTGGTGAGCACATCAGGATATTAGGAAATATACAAGGTATGTTGTACAATGTGCCACTGAAAATAGTCACAGCACAAGCAAGAGGAATGAGATTTTGTAGTTTTCACAGTTATTTCTTAATAAACAGTAATAGCCTCAAAATGATCAGAGGATTAGGATTACAAAGAATATAAACTACCCTCTTTTGCATCTGGAACGAACTACTAGGCATAACATTCTAATAGTACTGAAATCAAAAGGAGGGCAAATTTAGAGTAATTTTAAATTAATGATTCTACAATTAGTAGATATTTTCATACCTTCCAACCTCTGTCCAATATGACTCACTGCCACTAAGGCACTTGATTTTAACTTCTGAGAACTACACGTGAAAGTCAAAAAAAAAAAAAAAGATAATTAAAAAGCCCAAACCACTACATGGAGCTTTGCATATTTCTCAAGTATGTTTATGGCGTGTGGGTGGCATAGATGAATTATGGCCAGGAGGTTTTATCAGTAATTACACATTTTATCAGCAGTAATTATATAATTTCCTTGTGGCACTGAACCATTCTAAACTCTAATCCAAGCACTAATCATCATTAAAGTGTTGATAAAGCACTTACAGGACCTTGTTCCAACTCATAAAGCCATTCCTTAAGAATAGTCAATACTTCAGAAAACTTGAAGATTCCTGTGACTTCACAGGGAACCTTTGTGCTGCCTGAGAAAGAGAGATGTGATCTATTTCTCAGTTCCATTGGGACTCTTCTACGAGTGCACACATCTTACCGTCTAAGTGCAATGTATGGCATGACGCCGCTTTCGAGCACAGGAACACAGAAATGCGTGGCCATAACCCATGCTTTTGCCTATTTGAACTTTTCAGATTTTTATCATTTTAGATTATTCTGCTCAGCAATTTGGTTTCTTTATTAGGCCAATATTAAAAGTCTGTTTTAATTAAAGCATTTTAAAAGAAAATTAATTCAGAGGGCTTTAAGGGTATACCTAGAGAATATGCCCCTCAAATGAATTAAGACATTAGGGAAAAGTAATTTTCCTAATTGCTAGTGTACTTTTGCCACACTTTCTAGCTGCACACATCAGGGTCAAGGCTTTTATTCAGAACAGCTGTTAGACTGTAATCGCCTATTTTTGACTACACCAAGGTTTTTTTTTCTTCCAGAACATGCTAAGAGTAGCATTTTATGTAAAAGCAAAGGTGTTCTTAATAGCATAAAATACACCATCAGTAGAGCACACAACCAGAAAATCTTGAAAAGTGACATACCTGCCCCACGCTGCTTTCATTGTAGAATCTTTATCAACAGGAATGCATGAGGACTCAACAACACTTGATTTATTCAATTTGTAGCAGATACCACAGTCTGGATCTAACATACATCCGTTACAATAACTGAAAAAGAAATAAATAAATACTTAAGCAACACTTTATTAATTTCTACATGTCAAAACCAACAGCATCTCCTAATTCATCCTGGGATGCACATAGTCAAATTGTCAGTGTTGGAAACAAGATAATAGAAACTGCCCAAAAACTAATACAGATTGCTTTCGCCTTCTTCTGTACCACATCTTAGTGGCCCAGTTGCAAATCTCCCAGTGACACGTGATCAAGCTGTAGGTGTGTTCACTCATGGAATAAATTTTAATTAAAAAAAGACAGACTGGGGTTAAAAAGAAAGTCTGAGATAACATACCACGTGTCTCCGTGTGGGAACTTGGCGCCTGAGTTCCCATTATATGCAATGGACGGAGCCAATGTCAGTGGATCCGATTCACATACAGGCATCTAGTGCCCAAAAATATGCCACCTGCCCTTCACCTGTCACTGCAGTGTGCAGTGCTCTTGCACATCATTCCTCTGCATCACACTTGCCAGCTCTGTACAGATATCTCTGATTTCCTTGGTAGTCTCGAAGAGCAAGAGATGGTTACGTTTAGGCAAAGTTTCTTCAGGGCAATCTTGCAAGCTGTTCAAGTGACTAGACAGTAAAAGTTTTCTCCAGACTCCACTGGTTGCACTGACCACATCTCCACCAACCACTGGGACCCTAGGCTCCAAGTGCCCTACAGACACTTAGGTGTCAGTCCAAAACCTGCTCCTGAGAGCAAACTGACTGGCATTTGGCCATGTGAGCAATGAGGGTATTCCAAAACCCTTCATGCAGTGCAAGTTATCTGAAATCTTCTGGCACAAGCTTCCCCAGATCTTGCCAATGCTCAAGACCGTTGCTACTGTGGTTAAAATACCCCGGTGTTTATCTTCCCCAGAAGCCATCTTCAGATTCAGAGATACATTCTCATCAGCAAAGCCCCTCATATATTCTAAGGGATAACTTTAGAAGATAAAAATAGGAGAATGAAAACCTGTAAAACATGGAGTATGTCTTGAAATTTGAAATGATAATTAAAGTTTGAAATGTAGTATCTGGAAATGTACAATTAAGGTGACTAAAATAGCTTCAGCATACATCCCTGTAACAACAAAACCAAGGAAATAATCCCTTCTGGGTGTGTATCCTTATCATAACAATGACTTAGTGAATGAAGAAATAATCAGCTTAAACTATTATACCATTGTGAGAAAAAGTAAAAGTAACTGTATAACAAAGTCCCAAGAAACTAAATCAGTAAAACAGATTATATGTATTTTAAAAGTCTGAAAGTACATGCTTAAAGTCTAGTAATTGAAACTTTTCTTACTATGATGTTTCTAAAAGAGTTCTAATAAGGTCAATTCATATGGCAGCTGTCAAAAAAAGAGAGCTGGGACAGTGTTAATAACATTGTATTGATTTGCATTTTCCTACTTCTCCCAGGTTTCAGAAATTTGTGCTCTTTGTTACTGTGTGCTTTCTAAACAATCGGATTACTGCAGAAAATGTTGTCTGCTTTTCAGAAAATAAATCTATCTTAACTAATAGGTCAAATTCAGGCTTGAACAGCTTTTGGTTTTTTTTTTTTTTATATTGGGAAAGCTGCATTAAATCAGCTCTTTAAATAGAGAGATTAACTGCAGAAAACATTTTTACAATGGTGATGGAACAAAACTTTCAGGTAGAAGTCTAGTAAACTTTTCTTCTCTTGCAAAGACAAATGAGAAAATATCTCTGCAAATATCAGTTATGAAAGGAAAGGACAATTCCTATATTCCATTAGCGACACTTAGTTACATTTTGTTAATCAATATTAGGGCGGCAATGGGCAGCAACCAAAACAGTTGACCAGAAGAGAAGACTGAAGACGAATAAAAATATTTTTATACATCACAAGCCTGTTTAAGTATGTAATCATAATATTAAAAACAACAAAAACATTATAGCATCTTCTAGTGAAAAGAATCCCATGATATCAAACAGGATGCTGACATACGATTTTCTAGCTATAGAACATTTTCCACTGAAATTACGTTATATATCAAAGTACCTTTTAATAACATGAATTTCTAAAAAGACCTGGGGTGCCAGCACATCCAGCATGGCATCGTGGCACAGAAAGCAGCTCCTTCCAAATACTACATGCTAACAAATGCAGCAGTGGATTGTTAAGTCAACTACATGCAAATTATATTCAATGTGAACACCATGTACAAACTTTAACACATTAGAGTGGTCTTTAGGCAACAATTCTCTTCGGAAAATTTCAGGATTCAAGGTTTCTCTAGATTTATTCTTTCTATGTTTTACTTCAAGCAGAAATATAGTCAAATGCCCAACCCCAGCCAGAACATCAGCAGGACACAGGAATGCAGAGGAATGACAATTAGACACAGCAATGAGTGTCATCTTTATAGTGTTGCCAGCAGAGGACAGGATGGAGACTGGACGCTTCATCATTTCCCTTGATGTCCTCACAAAAATCAATGCACGAGATGAATGACAGAACTGAACTGTGCATTGTCTGTCCTGTCCTACGGGGCTCGCTCTACGGATAACTCCCTATAACCTCATACAGCGTCAGGTATCAGTAACCAGTCAATTGGGAAGCAGGAGGTATTTTATTTATTCCTCCCTCTCCATCCTGCAGCCCAGGAAAAAACTCGAGAAATCTGATTATTGATTCCGGTGTCTGCCTACACGGCTGTTAATTCAGCTGTTCCTCCAGCTTTATCGGGTATGCACAACTGTGTCTTCCAGTTTGCACTCAACATAATAAAGGCTGCTGGATTTCATGTCATGCCAAATGTCAGAGGTTCTGTTTCTCGTAACAGTTTAAATAACTTAAAATTATTATTTTCCACAGCTTGGTTATTTTCCACAGCTTTTCTGAAGCTTGTCTTCAAGGTTGAAAAGTTAAATAACAAATATTTTAAAACTCTTTACCTTTGGGTTAGGATTTTCTGCCATTAGCTATATAGTGAGCTCATACAATCAGGTTTTGACAAGACCAATTTACGTCAGAGGAAACCCAGAAATTCAATATACAAGACTCAAAGCCCTTTCAAATCTAACTCCCGGCAGACTTAGGGTAGGCGGTTACTGTTCAGACCATCTAGCATTCCTCTGTGCCCCATTTTATCACTGATATAAAAATTTTATGTTGACTTTGATGAGGGAGTCATCGCTTTTTCCAAGATGAAGATTGATGGTTTTTTCCTCCAAAATTCCAACATACACACTTTACAACTGTTTCGTAATGCAATAAAGAAATCTCTATCAGTTAATAAAGACTAATGATCACTGAAGATGCAGCACTAAATAAAAAAGGAAGATTTTTTTATTTTAAAGAAGCAATTTAAAAACAACCAAAAAATAATGTGTTGAGGCTGTTTAATCTAATTCTCTCTCAAAAAAATGGAAATAAAATATATAGTAGCTCTTCACTTTAGCCCCATTACTATTTGCTAAACACAAATATTTAAACAATTTGAAATTGAGCACATATTCTTACAAACATGCTCACAGTGATGTAAATACATTGGGACACACAATATACCAGGAAAAGAAATGCACAATATGATACTTATCAATGTGTAACTATCTAGTACAGACCTCCTTCCTGTCCTCAAATGTATCTTCTTACCAACCCTATCCAGATATACCCAAATACATGTCAGAGTATAAATCTATAAAAATACTGATACTTCTTCAAACCTACACCACAGATCAGTTATTGCCTTGAAAGCTCTATACCAGAATACTCCAAGATGTCTATGTTAAGAAGGAAATTTGCACCCAATTATAAATGGGAGATATGTTTTCTGTACTTTATCATGAAATATTTATATCCACGCTCAGGTTATGAGCTACTGTCTTGGAAACAGGTTCCTCTGTGAAGAGCCAGTTGAAAATTCCCAGGCAGGATGGTTCTCAATCAGAGACTGACAACTCATCAAGACTGAAATACCAGAGAGACGATTTGATTTTGATGAAACCAGGCAGCATTACAGCAGAAAGGTTTTACAACATGCCTAGTTCCCTCCCTGTGTACCACCTGGGCTCCTGAGCAACCCAACAAGAAGGCAAGCGTCTAGACTTCAGATGCTTCAGCCTATGTAGCAGAATAACAATAACCAGGAATGTGAGGCTCCAGAAGTCCAAAGATGCCCAGCTTCTTTGCAGCTCAGTGGCATGAAGTCTAGAAAAGAAAAATCTCAGTAGCTTGGCCCCTCAGTTTATTGGGAAGTGCCAAGGAATGGGATTTCGTGATTCCTGACTCACTGTCGGACCACATTTACTGACAAGCTGATGGACTGTTGGGAAACCATATATTCCCAAATCCACAATTCCCAACTTTGATTCTGGCAATTCAGTCAAAGTTTCCATTCTCCTCTGATGTCCTCTTCATCTGACCAAATGGGAATATTTCATGTCTAGAAAGTCCAACAGCACAAACTTCAAGGTCCCTTGCTAGCAATTTCTTGCCAGCCCAAGCACCACCAGCTTCCAGGATGCTCTGCTCTGGAGCAGCCTGCCTGATTAACTGTTCTGAGGTTACAGGTTGATCCCAAAGGTCACAATTCCTGCCTCTTTCACAGAGAATTTGAAGCATATAGATGAATTATTACTAATTGTCTAGCTGTGCACATTTTTCTTGATACCAAAATCACAGTTTTTTTTCCTTCTTAACAGTGTAGTTTACTAGCCTCTACTGCAGTCTCTAAAAAGACTGGATAAAATCTATGACCTGCTAAAGTGACCCTCCAGATGCCAATGAAAAGTTCATAATTGCTTGTTCCCCTGCTTTTTCTGCACTGCTTAGAATACTCCATACTTACATTTGGTTTGCCATTATATTTTGTGCTTAAAATTTGTAAAATGACCTTGTAAGTAATGACTTCTCTACAATTCTCCAGAGTCTCTTAATTTGAGCTGCAAATTGTACCTTGCTACTTTTTGTTGAGTGATTCAGCAGCTAAAGACCTTTGCCCAGTGCCCTTGCTCTGCAAGTGCT